GGCCGATTGTCTTGTCCGCAACTAATTCTATTTTCTTTGCGGTTTTATACGTAAGCGCTGACAGGCAGAAGCAACATTCTTTTTCCGGTAAATATTTAGTACAATATGATCCCCGTAAGTATCATAGTTCTTTAGAAAAATTCAGTCCTAGGCCCTCGAATTGAATTTGATTTAGTGATCGACTTATTGCAGATATACCTGCATTTTGAATAATAAATTGCACTTAACAAATCAATAACCATTTACAACTATTTTTAATCTCATTATTATTTTCATTTATTTAATATATTCAGTGGCAATATTCAATAAAACTATTAATATTACTCAAAGAATGGCAGTAAAATTAATAAAAAGAAATGAATTATGCCTTAAACAGCTAAAACTTGTATCGGACATAGTAATTTATTCCAAAAATCTACTATAAAAAGTAGAAATCAGTTAGTGATATACTATATTTATTCAATTAATAAAAAGCGTTGGTACTTGTTCAGATTTTAAAGGGTTAGCTTATGGCTCGAACTACCAATTCAATAATTCAGTGGATTAGTCTCTCGGCAGGATAATTTTAAAGGAAATCAATAACGGACAAGGCTGAAAAATATAATATATTTATTTAAAACAAGGTTAATGATTGTAAACAATTATTATAATATTGCACTGTTGTGTAGAAATAAATAATTCTGTTGGATTATTCAAAAGATGTGTTCTTGTGATTCTTATGCTATGAAGGCTTCTACGTATATTGCTGTGTTGCTTTGAGGTTATGCTGATGTTGTCAATGTCAGCTGATGTCGTCAGTCAATCATGCTTGTGAGGCAGCATGAGAAGATGGTAGTTGAATCAAGTATGCTTGATTGATGAATAGCTATACTTGATGTGGTGTCAGATCTTAAATGGAATTTATTATGTAATCAATTATGTCTTTTAATTATGTAAAAGGACAGCAGTAGAATCTAGTCACAGGTAAAAACAATTAAAGGTAAGATTTCTAATTCGTGAAGGATTTAATAATCTGTATTTATAGAGTCTATTAGTCGATCTGTGTTGGTCTTGTGTAATCAATGTGTGTGAACCACAGTGACTCTTGAGTCAGCTGTTCAGGGCCTGTACGGTTCCGAAGTGTTCTTCGGAAGAGTGCTAGTGTGCACTGTTTGTGCTAGCGGGCCTGTACGATGTCGAAGGGTTCGAGAGAGCGTAAGTGTGCCC